AATGTATCAGTAAAGTCAATCCCAAACTGCTGAGAATAGCCTTTAATCACTAGCCTAGCCTTGTGTTTTGATAAGTGTATTTTGTGCACTTATATATATCATATTACTTGTGTTTCATGGCATCAAATTATTATTTTTTACTTAACTTGAGTTAATTTTCTTTTGTTTTAGTCATGAACGTGTTCGAAGCAATTGGAAAGGAAAATGCTAAAATTGAAGGAAATATGCAATTTTGGGAATTAAAGTCGACGCTATAGAAATTGAAGGACTAAATTGCACAAATTCAAAGGATGGTTGACTTGGAGAAACACAAGAGTTAATGGGCTGGACTTGCATTAATTCTACACTTCAAATAGTACTTGGAAGTTGGAAACCGAATGTGAGTGGAATGGAATCATTCATTGGCAGCTAATGATTATTTGGAGTTGGGCCTGTGGATGTGCAATTGGATTTGGCCTTTCATTAGCAACTAAAATTCTGATTACAATAGAATTGAAGAAAGGTGGCTGAGACCATTATATATATTTTACACATGCAGACAGAAAGTGGCGTGGGGTTCTTGGGGGTTAAACTAAAATATACACAGAACCCGCCGCAGGTGGGGTTTTCTTGGGAGCTGAATTGAAACATATTATATACACAGAACCCTCGCCGCTGCAGGAGAAGGAGAGAGGCACACGTACAAACTGCTGGAGGTTCTTGCTGTGGGCTGAAATTATACAAATAAGTAGACGACCTGGGCAGAAAAAGAGAGGAAAACGCAGACAGAAACTGAGGAAAAAGTGGATCGACGACAGATTAATATTTTGGAATTGGCGCAGATTAATTCCTTGCCAAACTTTATCACGTTTGGTCAAATTTTGGTGATGTCGTTCCACTTTTATTTATTTAATTTCAATATCATGTTAAGCTAGATTTTTATGTGCTAGGATTTACGATGAACCTCGCATTGTGATCTTTTAATTATTTATTTTGCAATTTGATATTCAAACACGTTTGATGGATGTTGAATGATTTATATACACTTTATTGCCTCCATAATTAAATGCATGTGATTATGTGAATTTGGGTGGTTTATTTTATGCATTCGAAAGAAGGGAAATAAACTCAACAAGGTATAAATCATCGTTTTGTTCATAGAGGATAGAAATATACCGATATGCATTACGTGAATCTTTAAGTGTTTACAAAACGTCAAGCATTCTTGTATATTGTATTTGTCATAGAAATATAATCAAATGGTATGCTAGAATATGTTCAATTCTACTCGAAAGAGATTGTTGGATAAGTTAGAAACATTGATTCTTTAACCAATTCATCGTGTTATCAATTTGTGAAATAGAGGTTAAAAGTGAACATGCTTGGTGATTCGGGATCCTAGTGCACTTTTTCACATATTACTTCTCCAAACTTTTGCATTCATCCGTTATTTTGCATTTAGTTTAATTAATTAATTCATTATTGTTTGCATTTAGTATAGTTACGACTTAATTATAAAAATCAATCATATTTCATGTTTCGGTTAAGGTCGGAATAGGTAAAATCAAACTAGTAAATCTCTGTGGGAACGATACTTGGACTCTAAAAATCCATTTTATTACTTGAACGATTCGTACACTTGCGGTAATCAAAGTCGAATACATTTTCGACGTGTCATATTATTGATTGAGCCATCTGCATTTAACTTTGTTCTGAACACCCATTTGACTCCAATGATGATCTTGTTTCTTGGTCTGTCAACAAGCAGCCAAGTATCATTATTTTTAATTGCTACTAGCTCAAGCTTCATAGCTTCCATCCATTCCTTAGAATGTGCTGCATCTTCATAGATTGCTGGTTCCAGAATTGTAAAATTACAAGCGGCATAAATGTCTTGAAGTGATCTTATTCTTAACACTTCATTTTTTGAATCTGATTCAACTTCATTTTCCATTTCTACTTCATCATTACCGGCATCTTCATTTTCATCATTACCAGCATCTTCATTTTGAGAAATCAACCTTGGAGCCTCAGTTCTATCCATAGCATTTGACTCCTAATTCCATGAGGATTTTTCATCAAATCTGACATCCCTACTGGAAACAACTTTGCTGGTTTTAGGATCAAGAATCCTATAGCCCTTATCATTATCACAATATCCAACTAGAACTCCAGCCTCTACTTTCTGGCTAAGCCTATCTCTTTTAACATCAGGTATGTGCATGTATCACACACTACCAAACACCCTCAAGTGAGATATGTTAGGCTTAACTCCATACCAAGCCTCATAAGGAGTTAATCTATCCAAGGGCTTTAGTAGGAAGCCTATTCAGCAGATAAATTGAAGTGTTTACAGCTTCAGCCCAGAAAACTTTAGGCACATTTTTCTCCAACAAAAGACATCTTACCATCTCCATTGCAGTCCCATTTTTTCTCTCAGAAAATCCATTTCGTTGAGGAGAGTAGGGAATTGTTAACTGATGTTTGATTCCTACATCTTCACAAAAATGGTTGAACTGGTTGCTAGTATATTCTGTAATGGCCTTGATTTTATAGTTGCTTTCATTCTCAATATAGCTCCTAAACTTCTGAAAAACTGCAGGCACTTCTGACTTTGCTTTGAAAAAATAAACCCAACACATTCTAGTGAGATCATCAATGAATAGGATAAAATATCTACTACCATTCATGGATGAAATTTTCATTGGCCCACAGACATCTGAATGCACCAGTTGAAGTTTGGTTTGAGCTCTTTTAGATTGGTTTTTGGGGAAATGGAGTCTAGCCTACTTTCCTTTTTGATAGATTTCACAAACACAGATAGCATCACCTATCTTTGGCAGATTTTCAACTAACTCATGTTCATTCAAGAACTTAAGTGAGGTATGATTAACATGTCCAAGCCGTCTATGCCACAATTTAGACTTATTCTCAGTACAGGTAAAGGCATGAAAGTTCATATTTTTCCATTCCAATGGAAAGCTTATGTTTTTCATTTCAACTGTCATCAATTCCATGTTGTTTTGATCCAAAATTGTGCAACTACTATCCTTAAATACTAAAATATAGTTATTCTCAATTAATTGACCAACACTTATCAAATTCTGATCAATATTTGGAACACACAAGACATCAGAAATGAATTTCTTACCTGATGGAGTCTGAACTGAGATTTTGCCAATACCCTTCACTCCCACATACTCCCCATTTCCAACCTTTACTCTCGATCTATAGCTATCATTCATCTCAACAAAGATATCTGCGTTTTATGACATGTGATAAGTGCAACCACTATCAAGCAACCATATTTGATCCTTATTGCAGGCCGTTTGATTCAGGGCTGAAAAAAGGTATTCTTCAGCAACCTTTGCCTGCTGAATCTCTTTCTTTTCTTTTTAATTTTTGCAGACCGTTTCCACGTGTCCAATTGCTTACATGCTATTGAACACCAGGCCTGAACCAACACCACTTAGGAGAATGACCTTTTCTCTTGCAATGTGGACAAAGGGGATACTTATTATCCTTCACTGAACCTTTGGCTTCTATTTCCTTTTTTTCATTATGTGGCTTCTTTCCACCAAAGTTTGTTTGAGTCTTTTGCTTTCCTTTTGCAACAAAACACCCTCAACTTGCTCTTCTTGCCTGAACAATCTCCTTTATTCAGTAGCTTGAAGAGCATTCACCAGTTCAGCCAAGGAAATGGTAGCCAAGTCTCTTGAATCTTCAAGTGAAGATATTTTAGATTCGAACTTTTCTGGTAAACTAATCAGCACCTTCTCTACTACCCTCTTATCTGGTAGATCATCTCCAAGTAACCTGATTTGATTAACCACTTTCATTAGTCTATCAGCAAACTCCTTTACCATTTCAGAGTCCTTCATTTTTAGAGTCTCAAACTCTCTTCTGAAGTTTAGAACCTGCATTTGCCTTGTCCTTTCATTGCCCATAAATTCCTTCTTCAACCTATCCCATGCTTCATTTGCTATTTCACAAGTGATTATCCTTGTGAATATAGCATCTGAGACGGCTGACTGTATGCAAGAAAGAGCCTTAAATTTCTTGGCAATCTTCTCACTGTGTTGCTTCAGCTGGGCTATGGTAGGATTGTCTCTTAGTGGTGGTGGTTCTATTCCAGTTTCAGTGATTTCCCACAAGTCATAGGCCTTCAGACATGCCTTCATTTTTGCAGACCAGAAGTCGTAGTTCTCTCCTGTCAATACAGAAGGCAGGGGAGCTGAAAATCCACTTGAAGCCACATCACTTTCTCACTAATCCACTCAACTATTTATGAAAGGTTCTTACTGGTTTTCTCTTGTGTTTGCAGGTATTTTTGAGTATACCGGATTTGTACTCAGCTTACCAATTTTGGTCTTCCTTATCGGATTGGACAGTTTCTTCACCTCACCCTTCTCCTTCAATTTTTTCAGCACTTTTTCAATCCTTCAAAGATCCTTTAATGCTCTGATACCACTGTTAGAGTATAGAAGAAAAAGAGGAGAGAAACTAAGTTCAATTGATACAAGAAAATAGGTAATACACGGCTCCATAATATAGCCATACGTTGATGCAAAAACAAAATGATGTTCTATCACACTTTCTACCTACTACCACTACTCCATACTTGTCAATTACATCAACTTGCAATGGAACTAAACTAGTCTAACTAGCTACCATAACATAAGCTATACTATCAACAAAAGACGTATAACAACACTTAGCCAAAAGCATGACTTAGTAACAACAAAATTGTCACACTTAATTCATCAATAATTGATTGCACAACATATGATACAAGGAACGAAGAAAAATTTTCTTGATTTGTACATTGCTTCTGCATACCAAAATGTTTATGATTATTTAAGCCAAAGAACATCGCAGCCAGAAGATAAAAAAACTACAACACTTTTTTCTGTTTTTAGTTCTATATTCACTGTATGTGAAGATGAAAGCATAGAAGACGAAATATATAGCACCCATTTGGAAAACAATATAAATGGTGTTTAAGAAAATTCTTACCATTGTCATCTTCTGTAAAAATGAAGAGGAAAATAAAGATCACACACACTGGAACTAGTCGTTGAAGAGTTGCTAATCCACATATCAGTCACATCATTTGGTGAGGATTGTAAGTACATGCTCTTCAACAATACAACATCATCTGTTTCAGGTAAAGGTGGGATCTTTACACTTCTTGGAACAGAGTAATTATCATTAGTTTCCATTTTCTTCTCAATTTCGAACTCCTCATCACCCCTTAGTTCCTTAAGAAATTCTAACACTTCCTCCATAGAAGGCCTTAGTTCTTTTTGAAGTTACAAACATTGGAAAGCTATATATGCAACTGAGGTAGTCATCCTTGTGACCTTAGCATCAGATCCAAATCCAAGAGATGGATCGATTAACTCGTTAAATGTACACCATTGGATCCTACTTATTGCTAAGTTGGCTAAGTTGATTTCATGACTATGCCTACTTATATCCACAACTGGCATTGATGATATGAGCACAATGAGGACAACTCCAAAGCTGTAAACGTCACTTCTATTAGTAAGTTGGAAAGATTGATGATATTCAGGATCAACATATCTAGGAGTTCCCTGAGGGGCAGCCGATATATGAGTACCATCATTAGGGAAGAGTCTTGAAAGCCCGAAATCTACAACATTGACACAAAAATTGTTGTCAAGTAGTATGTTATTAGTCTTCACATCACGGTGTATTATATCAGATGCATGCATGTATGCCAATGTAGTAGCAGTCTCTATAGCAATGTTCATGCGAATAGGCCATGAGAGCTGTCATTCATTAGCTCTGTCATCATGGATATGATCGGTAATTGTGCCATTAGAAACGTACTCGTAAACAAGTAGGAGTTCTCGGCTGCGCCTGATGTACAGCAATAGAAAGAAACAAGATTCTGGTGCCTCAAACAAGTAAGGATCTTGATTTCATTCATAAACTGCTCTACTCGTTTGTAATTATGCTCATAGAGGCACTTTACTGCTACTTCTCGTCCATCTTGGAGTTTTCCTAATTAGAAAGAAGGCAGACTTGCTATTAGATTTAAACAGTTGCCAATTATATTATATATCGACTAGCTACAACTTTATTTATTGTGATTTAGAGTGAGTTTGCCTCATGATAACTAATAGATTCTTACCATAGTAGACAGTTCCAAAACCTCCGTCTCCAAGTTCTCTAGAAGAATCAAAATTATTGGTAGCAACTTCAAGTTCTGTGTAGGAGAAGATGGGGATACCAAAGTAGAAACTCCCGGCTTCAATGTTTGATTTTGAGGAGGGATCGAAGTATATGTTCCTCGAAAGTAAGTATGCATCATTGATTCTTCTTTTATGGCACCAAATGAAAAGGCCTAACATGCAAAGTATGACTATACATCCATGTATAACTGAAAATCACAATACAGAGAGAAATCAAGAGCTTGCTAGCCAAAGTTGGAAAGAAAAATTGTTATGAATATATTGATTTTTGCCATTGACTTGAAATGAAATTGGGCAAAATGGACAGAACTTTGACATCTAAATTTTAATATAACTATATTCTTTCAATATATTTACCTATGACTAGAATCAGCTTCAAATTTTTTTCTTTGCACCTATGTCAACATATGAACAAATATGTTAGTTCAGATATATATAGCAATTGTCCATGTTGAAGGTCGATGGTACCTTTTTCACATATAAATTCATTCTTTCGGGTAGTTGTACACTGGCCTCCTTTGTTGTGACACTCAGCACAGTCAACAGACAGACACCATTGTAGATTATATTCGGGGCTAAGCTGATCAACCAACTCAGTTGAATCTGCTTCATTTTTCAATTTGCCTGGTAAGTGCAAAACAGAACACTCATCTGGCCAAGAAATATTTTTAATTTTCATGGCATAATATATATCGAAGTATTGGCAAACTGTGTACTTCCTATAATAATCCAGGAAATAAGGTGTCGAAGTTTTGGCGCATTTAAACAAAGTGATATTAGGAAAGACCGAAAAGAAATAGAAGGCGAGCTCTGAATAGAGTAATTGTTGAACAGAGTGCAGCTCTTACTTTTCAAAAGACCTTCAAGAGTAGGGTTCCTAATCCTGTATACATGGGTAGATATCTTGGACAGAATCTCCCTGGACGATGAAATCCCTTCATATTCAAGGTAAACTAATGGATAAGGAATTGCATCGCACTGTGACGCAAAACGAAAGTTCTAGGTTTACAAACGTAAACCCAAACGAGAGAGAATTTTAATTCACAAGAAAGTAATAGTCTCCAAAATTGAATTCTATTTATTCAGAAACAAAATAGTCTTTAAATAGTCTCTGAAAACCCTAATTTAAGGAAAAAGACCAAAATAGACATCCACTAAATCAAAGCAACTAAAAACCAAAAATAACGCTAAAACATTGACCGCCCGGTAACATGCCTTAAACTACGAATCTGAGGCTGGAAATGATGTCCCTGGGTTGGGACGGTATAGAGGGCTAAAAGACGTCTCCGAAAACGTATTATAATAGAAAATCTAACACCGGTACAAAACGTTATGCCCCGTTTCTTAGGAACAACTCTTTTAGCCAATTTTCGGTCCAATTCTTCTTCTAACTCTAAAGCCAATTGTCCTAAATTAGTTCCTCCCACCTGTGAAGAACTCGACCTTGAGTTATAATCCAAATAAAGCGGAACATCTTCACAAAACTCATAAAGGTCAGCTACATTGAAAGTGCGAGATATATTCATATCAGTAGGCAAGTCGATCATGTAGGTGTTGTCATTAATCTTTTTGATCACCTTGTATAGCCCATATTTCCTTAGCTTCAACTTGTTATAGGAATCGACTAGGAACCTCTCCTTACGCAGAAACACATAAGCTAGTCACCTTTAGCAAACAACTTCTTATGCCTCTTGACATCTGCGGCAGCTTTATACTTCGCATTCTTCTCCTCCAACTGGAATTTCACTTCTGTCTGAACATCATGAACCTGCCCAGCCATGTTTTTGGCAGCCATGCTCTTGCAACGTTGGGAAGTCATGCCAAGTCTAATGCATGCTTAGGAGGCTACAAATATACTAAAGCAAAAGGAGATTTACCAGTAGCAATGTGAACTGCATTATTATACGCGAACTCCGCTTAAGCCAGTGCCACATCCCACTATTTTGGCTTGTCCCCACAAATGCTTCGAATTAAGTTTCCCAGTGTTCTGTCCAAATTCTCAGTTTGACCGTCAGTCTGCGGGTGTGTAGTGCTATTGAACTTGAGAGTAGTATCCATTCGTCGCCACCATATAATCTAAAAAAATGGCTAAGGAACTTCGAATCCCTGTCACAAGTGATAGATTGTTGGACTCCATGTAAACGAACCACCATATGAAAGAATAGTTGAGCCACATGAGATGCATCAGAAGTCTTCTGAAAAGGAATAAAATGCCCATCTTGGAGAACCTGTCAACCACCACAAACATAGAGTTAACTCCACACTGAGTTCGTGGAAGTCCCAAAATAAAATCCATTGACAAATCCTCCCAAATGTCATTTGGTACAGGTAGAGGCATGTAGAGACCTATATTCTGCGCCCGTCCTTTAGAAGTCCGACAAACATAACACTTGCAAACAAAGTTACCCACGTCGCTTTTCAATTGAGGCCAGTAATACCGCCCAACTACCCCACTGATAGTCTTGTCACGTCCCAAGTGACCGCCTAAACCTCCACCATGTAACTCTCGAATCAGTTTCTTCCTCAAAGAGCTCCACGAAATGCATAACTGATTACCATGGAACAGGTAGTCATCGACCATATGAAACTCCCCTTCCATTTGTTTCAGAATACATTTTCCCACGCCTCGACGAAATCTTCATCATCAGAATACAATTCTTTCAGAAACTCGAACCCAATAACCTCTTGTTGCATAGTCACCAGAAAACTTTCACGCCGATTTAAAGCATCTGCCACCTTATTCAGAACACCTGATTTGTGTTTCAGAACAAAAGGAAACTTCAGCAAATAGGTTGACCATCGAGCATGCATATTACTTAAACTCCTCTGGCTGTTCAGATACTTCAAAGCTTGGTGATCAGTGTAAAAAATGAATTCTCGATGAATTAGATAATGTTCCCAATATTTTAGAGCACGAACAATAGCATAAAATTCTTGGTCATAGGTACTCCACTTTCACCGTGCATCACTAAGCTTTTCACTTAAAAACGCCACTAGTTTCTTTTCTTGTGACAAAACTGCTCCAATCCCAGTTCCACTAGCATCACACTCTGCTTCGAATAATTTCTCAAAACTGGTTAAGGCAAGAACATGAGTAGTACATAATTTTTCTTTGATGACTGCAAAAGCTGTGTTAGCTGATTCCCCCCATTGGAATTTTCCCTTCTTGAGACACTGTAATGGGAGCCACAATACTACTAAAATCTCTTATAAATTGATGGTAAAACATTGCCAACCTATGGAAACTCGTCACCTCTCCTACTGTCTTTGGTGTAGGCCAATCACGAATGGCTCTCACATTTTCTTCGTCAACAAATATACCCTCCGAACTGATTACGTACCCCAGGAATAACAATCGCCTTGTCAGCCAACTGCACTTTTTAAAATTAATAAACAGCTTGTTCTCGGAAAACACTTCTAACACAGCCCCGAAGATGTTCCATACGGTCCCTCTCACTTCGACTGTAAATCGGTATGTCGTCAAAATAAACAATTACATATTTCTCAATGAAAGGCCGCAATATATAGTTCATAAGCCGCATAAAAGTACTAGGAGTGTTGGATAGCCCGAAAGGCATAACCAGCCACTCATAGAGTCCATCTTTTGTCTTGAAAGCCGTCTTCCATTCATCACCAAGTTTGACCCAAATATGATGGTAGCCACTTCGCAGATCGATTTTGGAGAACAACTTCGAACCCTCCAGCATATCTAGCATGTTATCCGATCTTGGAATTGTAAAGCTGTATCTAACAGTTATCTTGTTAATCGTGCGACTATCAACGCACATCCTCCAACTTCCATCTTTCTTTAGAACCAGTAATGCGGGAACAACGCATGGACTCATGCTCTCTCAAATAAATCCCTTCTTCATTAACTCTTCCACCTTTTCCTGTAAACTTTGACTGCCCGATAACACGCCTTAAACTGCGAATCTGAGGCTGGAAATGATGTCAACCAGGGAAACCAGAGTTGGGATGGTATGGAATGCTGAAAGAAGTTTCCGAAAACATATTATAATAGAAAATCTGATACCGGTGCAAAAAGTTATGACCGTTTCTTCGGAACAGCTCTTTTAGCCAATTTTCGGTCCAATTCTTCTTCAAACTCTAACGCCAATTGTCCTACATCACACTGAACCCTGAACAATCCACATTCAGGTTGCGAATAATTGGATAGAGGAAACTCCAAACGGCCAAGATGTCCACACTGGAAAGACATTTGGCATTTAGAATAGACAAAGTTTAGATTAAGCACATAAAACAGAGAGAAATAAACAGGAAAACTAGCAACGGGCCTATAGAGCTCCCTGGAAAAAGCCATGCCTAACAACAATGAAAAGAAAGAAGAATAGGACAAATATCAAAGTCTCTCTCAATTCTATAGATGCGGTTGAACAGAGCAGTTGACTTGGAAAATGTTTTCATGAAGACTTGGGTCAAGACAAATGGGTTTTGCTACACGGACAGGGCCACGTAAGCCCTGTCCGTCCAGGGAGAGCCACGCCCCTGGGGTCTGCGCATCCCAAATAGCATGAGCAGATGTCGGGTTGAAACAATCATGAGCAGATGTTGGGTTGAAACAATCATGAGCAGTGCCAGGCGGCGTTGCTGAGTGGAATAACCCAACAATCATTCAAATATCTGCAAGTTTTCAAATTTACTTCCATCTTGAATCTTTTTGTTAGCAGAGGCAAGTAGGTTTCTGTGTTTATGATGAAGTTGAAGACCCTGTCTTTAATGATGAGAATGATTCCATTCGTCATCCAATGAGGTGTGTGGATCGATCTCTAACTCTGACGAAGAAATTACCTTTGATGATGAGGTGTGCTAATAAGATACTTTATTCACTTCATAGATGCTGTTTGTTATTGACGCCTTTGTTCAGAAATGTAATCCATTTTTATTATATTCTTTGATAACCATGTCCTTAACTTTGCTGTTTAAAATTTTAAGAAAGTTAGCCTTCATACACTGGGAAGAGTGAAAAGGGATGATGGTGGTACATGGTCCAAAGAAAGTCAAGACGTTGAGGCACGCATATATGAAAACTCTCGCTGTTTCTCCCCTGGAGGTGCCTTCGTGAAAGAAAACAAATCCTTTAAACGTATCACATCTTTTCTCTTTCCAACAATATTATTTTGATAAGTTGACATTATGTTTCTTGCATCTATGGGCTGTGACCAAGGCAATCATGCCGTTGTCAATTATTTGTTTCTTACATCTTGTTTCAATTTTTGCCCTTATTAATCAAATCCTCTCACACTTCCTCAAAGATGCTCCTTATTTGACATGCACAGAAAGAGAGAGAAATAAAGCATCTCAACTTTCAATATGTGAAGAATATCGAGTATAGAGTTATTGTCTTGTGGGAATCAGCCTATGGTTAAATCGAAACATATTTGAATTCCTCTCACTTGTAGATCACTTTAACTCTGAGACTGTTCTTCTATTGGTCTAGAGTTATGATCAAATTTATTCAAATAGCTTCTTGACTTCTGCAGGTGGTGGCAGGGATAAAGCCAAGCCCAAATTTTCTTTTGGTTTCCAGTCAAGCAAGGAAGATCTGCCTTTAGTTGTCAGGCGTAAGAATGAGAATGGGACATCTTTGGATAATATACCATTACCTGATCAACTTGATGCTGCTTCTGACAGAGACATGAACCAATCAATTGATGGTATGAGGTGGGTTTTTCTCGGACAAGAAATAGAGCAGACTCAGATTCACACAGTACAATCAGAACTGGCCCTTAACTGTGTTTTTAAAGAGCATTCAATGGCTGAATTTCTAGACTGCTTTAAGGAGAGGAGTGGTCTGCTGCAAGGAAGTTCTAAAATGGTTAGTATCTTCTTTAGCATTCTTTTCTTCCGTAGTTCTGTATTGAAGATTCAATCTTATATTTTATCTAGGATATTGGGAAAAGAGGAAGGAACCCACAGATTATTCCAAATAGAAATTCATCTCCATCAGGTGATAGAAGCATGGATGGTGATGACCTAATTGAAGCTTTGGGTAATAGAATGTCCAGTGATGATGAGGTATTTCCTTGGTAAACGGTCCTTTAGCAGTTCCGATGACTGTGATTTGACATCTGTGAAATTTACTTGTTGACTGTTGTACTCTCTGTTTCAGGAGAACCCTCAAAGTGTCAAGTCAAATATTCCTTCCAGGACTATGGTAGATCAATTTCAGGAAGCTTTTGGAACTGTTCCTGTGAGTGATGAGAGGCCACACTTAGTGCTGCCTAGACCATTGGGGTGGGTACTGGGGCTAAATCTTGCAAGTTAGCTGCAGAATGTAGATAATATACCTCTACTTTGAGTCAGAATCTCACTCTCAATTGGCAAATTGCAGCTGTGGATTGTTTGGAAGGTTGCAGCAAGTAATTCAGAGTGAGAAGGAAAGGGATTCCGAATACTTGAAGAATTTATGTGCAGAAGACAGTTCAAAGGGTAAAATTAAACCTAACATTATCCAACACTTGCACAATCTCTTATAAATATGTGGCTGCACATGGCTGCTTCTCTTTTGAAACCTTTTCTTTTCAGATCAAGGAGATTGCATTGCTGTAAGAATTTTGTCAAGGTCTCTGGAGGCAAAGCTGACTGTTTGTTCTTGCACTTTTATTGGAGATGGAGAGGTACACATACTAAGAAAGCAATATACGAAATAAATGATGAACAAACTCTTGCTCTTGCGGCCACTTGCATTTTCAAGATATTTGGAAATACCATACAGTTCGTTTTCTTTAAAAATTTTGCAACCTTTTGAGATAGAAGGCTGTGGAACTCTGGTAAGGTGTTCTGTAGTCTCTTTCACTGTCTCAGACTGTGGATGTACTACATAATTGAATGAAGTTTGAAGTTGTCTTGTGAAATTTTCTTAGCTTCTATTTGTATTGTGAGGATCCCTTGGAATCGAGTTTGTAGGTGTCAAACTTTTGATGATTAGAATCTTGTTGTTGGTTGTTCACGAGGCTAATGCTCAATCTAATAAATAAACCAGATTTTATTGTCAGACAGATTTAACTGACATTTTCTCGGGTTTCGTTATCCCCCAAAATTGGAAAACGAAATGGATGTGACTGAAACGTGATTTGTTATTTGCATGAACAAATATGATATTTTTATTCTATGCACACTCCTTTTATGGTGGCAAAAAATTATGCCATGTTACGTTTTGCTTCTGCAGAGCTCGTATTTGGGGGAGAACCTGCAAACTAAAATGAGAAGCGGGGGAAGGACTTTGACTATCATTTTCAACTCAAGAATATGCAGTGATGTTGACCTTGAAGCTGGCAACCTCATTCGCATACATTACCCTTGGTATGAGCTGCGCAAGTTTCTTTTCTACTTTGAGTTGTGGGGATTTGAGTATAATTTCAAACAATAGCTGGGAGTATGTTGACTGATCATTTGTCATGAAACCCACCTATTCTGTTCATTTTGGTTATGTTTAGCACAACGAACTAGACCGTTCAAGGAATTTAAGTATAAAATTATAATTGATATTACTAGGTAGAGGTGGATAATGTTCTCTAACTTTTCATTAAATAAAAATGTCATATCTTTTCTTAACTAGCCCACCTCCATCCTCCTTATATGGTTGATAGTGCAATGACTATCCTTTTGCATTTAGAAAAATTGTGATTAGCGATTCCTTTATTAACTGCCATCTTGTTCAGAATCGATATTCAAAACCTTTTTCGAATACAAAAATTCAGTATCTTCTCACGAATCAGTGAATTAGCAAGGATTCCTTTATGTTAGGTTTGGTGACCCAAATTATGTGGAATATTTTGAGAATATTTTTCCCCTTCTTTGCACATTGTTTTATTGGGAAAAATATTACGAAATATTGTTTCCTTATTTTCACGTGATATTATTTCTTTTTATTTCACATGATTTTATTGAAAAAATATTAGTTCTACTATTCCACATTATTGTTATATTATTTCCATCTTTATGGTTTGGTATGCACCTATAAATATGTAGACACTCCTTTCATATTTCTGGAGCATATATTGCTGAATTCTTGTATTTTTTATTCCATTGTTATTAATAAACATCATTTCCTATGCAATTTTCTTCTTTCTTCTTTACTTTAATCTAGTCTTTTTTCTTGTAATCTTTGTTATTTCAATTTGTCATTAATCTCAATTCTTCCGTTCGAGGCGAATTTTCCCAACATTTTCTCATTCCTTATTAGTTTCTATTTAAAGCAAAACTAAGTCACAATTCTACCTCTTTTTTCACTGCTAATTCCCTTTTTTGTGGAATTAGATTACACGAAGAGGGAAGTTTCTCAATTGTGTTGTAAATTATTTATTTCCTTGAAAAATCCAAGACTCAAATCATTC